AGAAGTGAGGATGCAAATAGGAGCCTGAGAATGTCAAAAACCTTGTGGAAATTGGGACTGATCTAAGCATTGATGCCTACAAAAACAAAACAAGTGAGCAAAAGACACTCAGAAGCAGAGAAGTGATATAATCATAATGAACCACAAAGGCTCACACTAAAAGAAAACAAAAGAGTGATTTTAATTGGACAGAGTTTGGATGGAGTGTTTGACATCACTGGAGGGTCTATAGTAAGAATTTGGCCATTATTTAACTGACATAAAGCTGACTGATTTTGTTAGGCAGTGAGACTCATGTGAATGAAGTCGTTGTATTCAAAAGAGGCACATTCCAAAAGAAACTCACATGAGATAGTGCTATGCTTATGAGCATTAACTAAAATACTTGAGCATTGCTAAATTATGATGAAATCATTGTGAATGTCATAGTAGGGATACTAAGGAGAAGTATTAACAATTCTGGCTTTCTAGTTCATATGAAAAAATGCTAATTCCACTTATGAAAGTAAAGTACAGGCATGGCATTATTATGATTAAGACCCTACAACTGTAGAAATGTAGAGTGGTATATTAATAATGTTATAGACATGTTTAGCATAAAATGCAAGCAATGTAGTTAAATTAATTGTACATTTCAGGCTGCACCTAGATTTCATGTGTGCTTATCATCTCACAGAGCTAAACAGAAGAATAAACCTTTTATGCATCTTACTTACGGTACTCAGAAGCTAGCCAGTCTTTGTTTTTCCTGCAACATTTGTCCCTGGAGAGTGCCAGCATCTTCCAAAGCCTCTTTTAGAAAGCAGTATGTTATTTTAAAGTAGTAGTTAAGATCATCTTACTTGGGTGATGATGGCTGTTTCACATGGCTAACAGCCATACTTGCCTCACAAATAACCCAAAAGTATGTTCATTTTTGCCAACCCTCTTGGAAGAATGCATATAGCAGATTACAGAAAAAATAGCCTATAGAAATTTCATGAACTTGTCTATTTGTTTACTTTCCACCGAGAAATTAATATTGGGATAATTTTGGGGCAATGACCAAAAGGATGAGATACATTATCCAATTTGATAGAGTATTGTATTTATTAGAAGGTGGGAGTTCATAAAGAAGAGAAAAAGAAAAAAAAAGGATAACATAAGGGGAGTAAAAAGAGAGAAGTTCTCTGAGAGACCATACTTTTCACAAAAGTAGACAGTCACACCCAAAAATAGATTTATTTACTCTAAGTGGTGAAGTGAACCACGTGGTGAGTGGGGTTGGGCATTCCACCATGTTTCCAGTCTTATGTTCATCCATTATAGCATTCACCCTCTGGGCCAAGTGTTGGGTTAAACAATTGTATTTGAAGTGCTGTTTGGCTGTAAATACCAAATATTACATTATTATCTTATATAATAAACCTCATGACTTTTGTTTTGTTTTTGTAATGGGGATTGAACCCAGGAGTGCTTAACCACCAAGCCACATCCCCAGCCCTTTTTGTCTTTTATTTACTGACAGGGTCTCACTGAGTTGCTTAGGGACTTGCTGAGTTTCTGAGAGGGGTTTTAAACTTGTAATCCTCCTGCCTCAGCCTCCCAAGCCACTGGGATTATAGGCATGCACTACCACGCCTGGCATAAACTCATGATTTTTAATTGTTCAGGAAGTCAGTCTTATTGAATTAGGCTGAATTACTGAACAGTCTAAATTAAAGAATTTCTAAAATAAAGTCCTTTTTAAAACTGTGTTTTATATTAAGTACTTACAGTAAGTCAATTTCGTTTAACAAAAGTTGCCAGGAACTGGACTTTATTTAATGAAGTATTTTTAAAATCTTTAATTGCTGTTTTTGATGTTTTTCTACACAAATATGTAGTTATAATTGTATATTCTTTGGTTAAGCATTTCCATTTCAATTCTGATTATATTCTTGATTAGCCTAAGATATAATTTTTTTCAAATAATTATGGAGACAAACTCCAGATTTGGTTGATATACCCCAAATTCCAAATTCCCATTACTTTGTTGTGAATTATTTTGTGCCCTATATATTAGCCTGTTTCCTCCTAGCACCACCATTCGAGTTCTACCAGTGACTTTAGATTTCTATTAGTTAAGAATCATGTATAAATATCTTCCACCAATAAAATCCTACCACTTCACTATACTTGGTCCTGAAAAAACCTCTTCCTTTCTTTACACAAAATCCAGTCACTGATAAGAGGAAGTACTCATAATATCAATTTGTCTAATCCTCCCCTAGAGCATCTAGGATCCTACCAAGGATAATCCCATCAGTAGGCTACACATGATCCTAGTAGCCCCTAGTCCCTTGCATCTTTCTTTTCTTTGTTCTGACATTGGTGGAACACCACTCAGATGAAGAACACATGCTACTTTTAGACGTTTGCTTATTAAGCTCATCCCTTATTTCTCAGAGCTCCAAAGAAGATTATCAAGGATGGTCAAGTCAACTAATGGTAGGGAAAGAGTGGGTACTCTTTTGTCTTCAAACTTGACAGAGAGTTATATAATCTTTGCACCTCCTGTTGACAATTGAAGCTCAGTTTAGCATTGATATTGAGAAGCACAGGATTATGGGGTTTGTGATTCAACTAACCATTGATCTAATCATTTTTTTTCTGTCACAAATTGGGCTCCAAGTTTTCAATAGCTGAGTTACAAAGTAGTGGTGAAACATCACTGGTTTCTTAACTGTGGATTGCTTATAAACCCTGAAAGAGTACACCTTGATTTATAGGAAATGAATGCTCAGCACAACAAAATTAATTGACTTGATAAATCTTGGATTTGTGACAATTTGGATTCCAATCCTTCAAAATCTTTTATAAAATCAAAATGCCTTCCTTTTTTCACGCAGTCTATAAGAGTTCATATATCTTTTAACTAATAAAATGCTGTAGGGAAATCTGATCATTCTGGGGGAAAGGGAGGTATCAGCACAGTTAGTGCTTTCTTGGGGCTTGTGGGGATTTCCAAACATGTTTCTTTGCATTTATTTCTTTGTATTTATTTGCAAATGTCCTCAGCTAACCATTTGTGTAAATAACAGGGGTAAGGAAAACACCTTTGTGTGTGTTTGTATATGTGTGTATTTATGTATTTACTTCTTCTATATGTATGGAATATTTATGGCTAGAAACGATCCAGAACAGGGAGACATAAAATGGGGACTCCCAACCTGGAGATTCCCCTGTTAGCAGAAGTGGCAGCAAGTTATTGGAATGACTCACAATCACTTTGGTTGAAGCTTTAGAGCTGTCTATGCAAATTTTCTCTCCTTCTATGCTATCACAGGGGGAAGACATACAAGCAAAGGCCTTGCTGGCATACAGAAGCCTGAAGGAAATCAAGTGTGATTATTCTGAGGGTCTGAGAACAGGTTACCTAGCTCCAAGCCTTCCCTATGCTTCATCCTCATCTTCCATCCTTTGCCCACTTCTTCTGGCTTTCTTGTGTATATATGGAACTGGAAATATGTGTTGCCTCCAGATAGGGGAATTATAGTTGTCTTCCTGTCGCCATTTTTTTTAATCCTTTTTTTTTTTTTTTGGTATTGGGCACTGAACTCAGGGGCACTTGATCACTGAGCCACCTCCCCAGCCCTATTTTTATTTTATTAAGAAACAGGGTCTCAATAAGACCTGCATAGCACCTCACCATTGCTGAGGCTGGCTTTGAACTCTGGATCTTTCTGTCTCAGCCTTCCGAACCACTGGGATCACAGGTGTGCACCCCCATGCAGGTTCCTATTGCCATTTTTAAACAATAGGACAACAACTATAATTAATACTATAGCAATTTATACCATTTGGTTTTTATATCATGTGAATGCTTTAATTGTTCAAGTAAAATTTAAAAGGAGGAAAAGAGTCCTTAGCTGGCCCAACCCCATTTTCATTGCCAGCATCAGTACTAAGGGACATCTCTAGTAGATGGAACTCTCACTTGAAGGACTAACAGTGTTGGCCCTTATGAACCTCATCACTTCCTGGGCTCATGGAGTAGAGGAGTGAGAAATAAAGGTAGCCTGTCTGGCATTCACTAGACTGCTGCATGCAGCCTTAGTGTCTCCCTATAAATGACAGGCCTCTGAAATGCAAATCCTCTTCCTTGTATATGAACATTTTGAGAAGCAAGTACCAGTAGGAGCTTGGGTGGTCATAGCAATGTGTCATTAGAACAATAATCTTTAAAACCACCACTCATGTGTGGGACTGAGTGAGGGTTTCCTGGAGAGTGAGGTTGATTTAGGGATCAGGGATCAGCTGCTGAGGCTGGCACTTGGAAAAGACAAGCCAAGCATTCACACCCCACACCACTCAATACCAGCATTGTCTCCAATCCATCTTTCATAAAGGGGTTCTAAGAGGGGGTGAGGATGAAGGAAGAAGAGAAAATAAACCTTTTTCATCCTATAATAGAAAGTACAGAAGAGAGGAAAAGAATGAACAAGATTTGAGTATGAAAAGCCATTGGCCAGGAATGTTTACTTTGAAATCAACTTTGGCTTTTAATGTGAGAGTCTTCTGTCAAGTTTCTTCACTGTTTTACATTCTTTAGCCAATCTTTCAGGACTTGCACCCCAACCCCCATGCCTTCTATCCTTCTGTTTCACTCCCTCCATTTAGCAAGGTTTGCCTCTTTCCTGCCTCTCTTTCTCCTTCTTCCTTCATTCTTTCCCTCTCCTTTCCTGGACTCTTTCTTCTGTTCTTTTATGGCTTAAGTCCTTTTCCTTCTTCTCTGTCTTGAACAGTCCCCATGCTCTCCATTCCCTCTTCTTAAGGAAATCAGCCAGGCCTCCTCGGATGGAGCTGTTGTCCTGACAACCTAAAGGCACACCGGGCTTTCATTGAGGCTGACTGCTGCTGAAGGGGGCAGTTGTGCAAAGCGAGGGGCCACTCCGAGGGGAGGGAGGAGGGGATGACGTGGAGGGGCTGTTGAAAACCAGCAGGGTAGGGGGAGGTGCTGATAGAGAGACAGCCGGGGACTGGAGGGAGAAACAGGAAGGGAGGAGGGGGAGAGAGACTCTGGGCTGCCTCTGCCGCTGCTGCGTGGCAGTTTCTTTACACTCCCTGGCAGCTTGGAGCCGGCTCCCTCGCCGGCCTGGGAAAGTGGGTTACACGGGGAAGGAGCTCAGCTCCGACGCTGGCACAGGAGCATCCAAGCACAGAGAGACCAGGGAAGCACCTCTGCCTTTGGCAGTCTTCTCCTCATCCTTTCTAGAGGGTTTTGCATTTGTACTCTCTGTTGAAATTTTGTTCCTTGGACTTTTCCCCTCACCCCTGCTAGGATTTTATGAGGGCTTTGTTAAGACTTAGAGGGAAAAGAGACTGAGCGAGGTGAAGAGTGGCAAAGTGGAAGGGACCACAAACTGGAGAAGCCCGACCTGCCTGGGCGGTTGATGACAGCCCGGTGTTAGTAAAGCCCCTTTCCGCGGCGAGCAGCGCGCACAACCTTTGGAGCACCCCGCGGACCCGCACCTCGCCTTGGCCACCATGGTCGGGAGAGTTCAGCCTGATCGGAAACAGTTGCCGCTGGTCCTACTGAGATTGCTCTGCCTTCTTCCCACAGGACTGCCCGTTCGCAGCGTGGATTTTAACCGAGGCACCGACAACATCACCGTGAGGCAGGGGGACACGGCCATCCTCAGGTAGGGCTTTCGGGCAACTTTTCTCCCGCGCGCTTCTGTGTGTGTGTGTGTGTGTGTGTGTGTGTGTGTGTGTGTGTGTGTGTGTGTGTGT